GTGCCGCGCGATGCCAGCCTGCTGTGCGGCGCTGCCGGGCGGTGCGTGCTGCTGGGCGGCCTGCTGTGTATGCTGCTCTGCCTATGATTACGCCGCAGCGTGCTGCCAGGTGGTGTGTCCATAACATTTTTAAAATGCCTTATTTACCCTTAACAAGTTTTTTTTTTAGTGATAAAATACAAAGTACTATTCATTGTCTTCAACTTTTGAACCTGCAACAAGTGAGGTGCATCCAGTGATTGAGCACACTCTCTAGAAATAATAATTGAGCGATAACAATGAACTGTTCTACCGTTCTTAAATATTGTCGATTCCGACTCTCTCATTCACAGCATACTAACGATTATGATTCTCTTGTCGTAGGCTTGTTGTAATCTGACCATTGATTTGAAGTTATGATTCAGTAGAGTGTTACTAGATTTGAAATTCTGGTGGATGACAGCTAGGACTGCATGCTCATGGAAGAACTTAAGAGTTCTAGGGCACAAAAGCTCACCCCTGATTCGATGATTGGTGATTAACTAGTTACTTGTTTCAGTTACAATAGAGAGGGAGAGGGGAAAAAAAAAGAAGGGAAAAGGATAGAAAGAAATTAGAGAAAGAATGAAGGAGGGGAATAAATAAAGAATGGAGAATTCCGAACTGATATAGTAAAAAATATTTGTCGAAGGTAAATATGACATTTAAAAAGTAAATGCATTACGTGTCAATTTTCCCTTATGAAAAGTCAACAAAAGGAGATATATATACATTTTCTTCAAAGGTTTTTAATTTTTTACTACAGTTTAAACACAGGTGAGGTTTATATGATTATCAAAAAAATCGGGGTTTTTTATGATTCAGTCCATCCCTAAGAAATCGTAGCTCCACGGCTCCATTCAAAGGTGAATTGAATCCTGCCCGTGGATTGATGCTAAATTCACGTGCAGGATATAGTTTATAGGGGAGAGAGAGCTACTAATAGACTAAGAGGGGGCTGCAAAAAAGATTTCTAAAAGGGAGTGGAACTTAAAAATCCCTAAATACTCGGGAAGTTTCTATATTTTACCCTAAACTTAAATAGAGCTTGTGAATAAACTCCACTCGACTTAAACATACCCTTTATCACTAAACATCACATTCCGTTTACCCATGATGTCATGTGACTCATTTGAAATTATTAAAATCCTATTCTGCCCTTTTATGCCAAGACGAAAAAGCAGTTTTGGGTTTTGAGTTCTTTCTATATTTCATAGCAGAGTAGATGAACCGAAAATATCCAAATTCTCCTACTGTTTTCGTCGTTCATTTTATTTTTATTTTTCAAAATTACGAGCAAAGCTTCTGAAACGTGGTACTTTGGATGACAGGTAAGATTAGAAGAGTATAGGATTACTTTGGATGACAGGTAAGATTAGAAGAGTATAGGATTCTTACGAGTGTAAACCATAACAATAACATTACAAGAAGCCAGATGTACCTTACTTCAGTTTCAATTGTAATTTATCTCAGCTCGTATAGCCTTATCTATTGTCTGAACTGCACATCTGACCTGACTATCTTGCTTCCACATCGACACTATATCAGACGTTATCCTTTTCCTTTTAGTAAACAACCAATAGCTTATCTCAAGCATGCATGAAGCCTATGTTCACCCTCTTGAGGGAGTTAACTCCGGCTATTGGCCCCAACAGCCTATGCTGTTGAGAGCGTTCTTAGGCTGAATATGTTATGCCCATGTCCATGATTATAGTTAAAAAGAAATAGGAAACAATTACTATTCTACCCCACTTTATGGTAACGTGGCATTCTCAAAAATGTTTTCAACAACACATGCTGTTGGCCCTCAACAGCCAAAGTTTTTCCCTCTTGAGGGGTATGAGACACTACCGCATAGACACCACCTTGCTTCCGCATCTAGGCGATGGGCGAAAGGTACTGTCTGAAGTCTGAACCCATGAAAAGGATAACGCCTGTTGCCTGATAACGTGATAACAATGAAGACACAAGCATTGGGAATTGTAGAGTGCTGGATTCCAAGTGAGCAATCAGTTGCCCTTTGGACCAGTTGAGAAAGTCATGCCTTTTACCTTCTTAGGAGAGCTGAAGAGAACAAAGGTACTGTCTGAACTGTATTTCCGACTCCACTGGCACACCAAACATAAAGATGGGTCATCTGGCTTTCTTTTTTTCTTTTTTTGAAAATTTGAAGGATAGTTAAGGGTAAAGGAGTCTGTCAAATCTGAGACACAAGATACCTAAAATCCATTTAAAAACCTTCAGGGTGTGTAGTCAATTTCTAAAACCTCAAGGTCTTTAAACCTGATAAACATGAAAACTGACTAAAATATGAAATTTATAAACCCAAGAATATTCTACCAAAAAAAACCAAGAATACATTCATAATGGTATAACTTCATTGGCATTCTCCGAGTCCGGATCACCTGTCCACGAGAACTCTGCCCACACCTACCCACAATACACTACCCCCCGTGAATTGGGAACATCTCCCCCTGCATAATAATATTATGCAGAGGATGAGATGTTCTCCATGTGTGGCTCCGATAAACGTGGGCAGAGTTCTCATGGGCAGGAAATCCGGACTCGCATTCTCCAGTGTTTTGCGGATATGTAGGATCGTAGTTGCCGGAGGATGATGGGTGAAGCCATAAAGGTACTTGGTTAAACTTTAAATCTGAAAACAAGATGAGACGGTGGGAATGCGGCCTAAGTCCTACCCATTTTACCCGTGAAAGCAAATAACCATTAAGCCTCGAGACCACCGTTAAAAACAAGAAAGACAAGCTCCTATAATTAATTTTCTCTTCTAAACCTATCGTTTTATCACTTGATCTGTATTCTAGAGTGATGGCTGTACCCTAGGCACTAGTAGCAAAACCCTGTTCCCTAATGGATTATCTTTTTGTGTTACTGTTAAGTACATACTAAACCATCTTTTCATCCTGAGTTGAGATCTCAGTTAGGTTTGGAGGCACGGAATCAGCTGGGATTTGCTTTGGTGATAAGGCTCAAACTGGCTAATGGGAATATAAAATGGAAATCAAATAATATGCAGTTTAAGGAATGAGTGGTTAAGGCAAGAATAAACAGGTCTAATAACGACTAAAGGACATGTCGCCGAAGAAGAGATAGTGAATTTGGTGATCCACTGCCCTTCTCACACTAGGATCACTGGCTAATAAAGTATTTCTTCTAATTTGCTTCTTATCAACAATAAACCAGGACCAGTAATATCAAATTTAAAAGGGTGCAATCATCTAGAAATGAGGCTATTAGTTTGGTGGCCCAAATTCCTGTGACTCCAAAACTACTTGGTCAAATACCATATCAGATGAACCAAATTAATGGCACACTTGTAATGAAATATCAAATCTTCACAGAATATGGAGCGGCAATTTCATATTTCCAGAAGCTCTTCAGTAAGTGGCATTAAGTACCACCTTCCTCTGAAAACAAGTTAGCATTTTCTTTGCTTTCTTTTAGAAGAAATTCCAGTCTAAGTGAAAGGGAAATAAGGACCCAAAGGGGGATATAAAAAGGAAGGCTGTGAAAAAAAAAGAAAGAAAATTATGAGAGCTTTTAGCCATAAATGCATGGAACCTAATAGAATCGTTAAAAAAAAAGAAAGAAAAAGAAAAAAAAAACTGCACAAAATCAAAGCAGGGAGTAGAATATGCAGCTACCTTGACATATAATTTCCTTTCCGCCTTACATGTTTCAATTCTTCTGAAACTACCTGCAATCTCTGGCAAGGAAACCTTTCAAGCATGGCAAACCCACAAGTTGGTGCAAAAATAATTTACAATCACCGTGAGTGGGGAGGTTAATGTTTATCACTAGTCAGTTAAACAGGTTGCCATTTTTCTCTTTGTGGTTCAGACAAAATGTTAGCTCTCGATATTCTCCACACCCCGGATGTTGTGCCGCTGGAATACCTTTATCCTATTTTCAGCCCACCATTTCTCTGCCTGTTTCTCACTAAAATGTTTCCGACTGCAGACAACCAAGAGTAGATGAGTTAATTAATTTAGAAACTATGTACACAACTACAAATGTGCATTACCAATGACTACACAGAAGATTTAAACACCTTTCCAATCATGTAAAGAAAAGAGCATTTGTGCTTGCATCCTTTACAATGGCTACAGAAGTTGCAGTTTGCGAATATCAATGCTGTTGTTACTATTAAGTATATTTCTGACCACAGAATATCGCTTTTCCTTAATAGATTTTTTCTTATTGCTCTATGATTCTGAACTTCACTCTTCTCAAGAAGTGTCTCCAAAGCACATATAGTGAAAGGAAACAATAAAATCATTGATCAGAATACTCTCTTTTAGGGATTGACAGAATATATTAATATACAATGCAAAAACCACCAAGGAATAATGACTTATATATATAGTACCAAAGCATTAAGTCTGTTTTTAGTGGTCTTATAGGCTTTAGTTCAAACAGATGCTGAAAATGATCAGTGTATAGAGCTTGTCAAGTCAGAAGCAGGCTTCCTATATTGTACCTCAAAATAATGGTTGCATCACATGAAAAAACCAATGCATCTATAATCATAAGCATGATATAAGCATCATTTATATTTTTTTTGGTAGATAAACAATAAAACTGTGAAGGATTACAATAACACCTCAGGATCTGAAACTCTATTAGGACAATATGGTGGTATGCTTGATAGAAGTCAAAGTTAGCATATGGTATTAGGGGCACATATCTAGTCTTACTTTGTATCATTCAAAGCCCAAGAAGCAGATTGACTGATGTTCAAAACATCTCATCAAGAGTTAAAAATATGGCTGGCTAAATGGAAGTCATTAAAGCAAGATGGTTAGAATGGTTCTGCTGGAAATAATTTGTGTTATTATCCTCCAAGAAGTCTTACCAATTTAACTATAAAAGGTACTCTTAAGGTACACATGAAGAGTGCACTATACTGGATTTAGCTTTATTCTGCAAGTGCTGTCTGGAGCCTAATGGTACCAGGTACGTGTACAAGGATGCCATAACATGTCGAATACTTTAATTTTTAGTTTAAATTCCATATCTGATACCGTGTCCTTCCATATCCTTTTTGTATCTAGGTAACGTACTCTGGATCCAATTTCATCGAGCTCAAAGTGAAGATTCCATATTTCACTGGAGATTTATACCTAATCTGACTTGTAATCGAATACAGGTCAAATCCTAAAGTGTACTATGAAATAAACATGCCTAGTAGTATCAAGAATTTGAACAGCTCTACACCTCAGATCCAGAACCAACCAAATTTTACACCCCAACCCATATTCAATAACATAGACCAAGATATGATCCATTTGTACATGAATCCCTATTTCAATGTTTTCTATAGAAAGGATGTAGGTTTAGATCATTCAGTTGGAACCAAGATCTTCCATGCATTATGCCCTTTACCATATCTTATGGAAATGGAGAAACAACAAGTTGCAAACTTGCAATCAGGAAGGTTCCTCCAAGTCACCCACTAGGAACAAAATAAATGTTATTGTTCTCATACCTGAAACGTATACGCTTGATGTCATTGCCACCACCTGGCAAGGGGGTAAGAGTTATGTAAACACCTGGTTCATATTGTACAACCTGGTCTGCCAATTCATTTTGTGCCTTGGTTTCACTGCACAAGACTAGATTCACTGGGAAACCATTGGAATCTGGTTCAAAAGAAGCCGGGCTGGTTGAATGGCTATCAGTAGAAACAAGCCTCAGAGCAATGGGAGCGTATCCAGCAACTGGACTTGATCTGTTAGTTGTAGTAGAACCAGCAGGTACCCTTTCAGTCATATCCTTCAACTGCCAGCACATTGACCATATAGCATACTGAGTGGTGAATGTAGTAGTAACACTTGTGGAAATTATCGGACAAATGGGAAGATAACTGGTTGATGGGATAATTAGCTTTTACTTTTATCATTATTTTTCCATGTTGGCACACAAATTTGGATACCCCATTTTTCTCTATTGTTTTTTTTTGCCAAAGACAGGTTGTTTGTTTATAGGGCATTCTGATGTCCTATATTAGCATACTCAGAAAACAAATACTTACAAGATTTGCCAATATTAGCATACTCAGAAAACAAATACTAACAAGATTTGCCAATATAGGGAATTCTGATGCAATTGATTACCATGGGATTTGAAGTTAAATACTAGACATAGGTGAATGCGAATTAGAGAGCATTACCAGGCTTTAGATACAGTATCCCAGTCAACAAATATTAGTAGAAACCACACCAGATGGGTAGCAGTAATGGCTCCATAGATAGTATATGGGCACCAAGTTTCCTATAAAAGGGTCAACTCTGGTAATGGTGTATTTGACAGACTTTAAAGTTTACCATGTTAGAGCACCACAAATTACCTATTAGTTATGGGGTGAATCATGGTGGCCATTAACCGAGCAAAGCCTTTAGGGAGGGAGAGGGAGGGGGGAGGGAGAATTTTGTGGAGATGTCCCAAGAAAGAATTCTGCAAATATAAGAATAGCATTACCAAGGAGGCCTTTTGTATCGGGCAATATTTCTTTAATAAACTTGGTGGCGGAAAAAACTAATTGGTTAGAAAGGGGGCTTTGAGATGGAAGATATCGAGGTGATGAGATTGATAAATGGAGAAAGCACCAGAACCGGATGGGATTAATATGGCTGGCTTTCTACAAAGTGTGTTGGAACAGGGTTAAAATGTAATAGCAAAAAAAAAAAAAGAATCAGGATTAAGATGAGAGACATACTTCAAAGCCAGAAACTATTGATAGAGGGATTAATGCTGCTTTTGTTACTCTTATTCCAATGAAACATGGGACTATAGCACTGAAGGATTTCCATCCAATCTGCTTAATTCATATTCTATATAAATTGACTGTGAAGGTATTATCAAGAAGGCTTCAATCAATCATCCTAGATGTGGTGGGATCTACTCAAATGACTTTTGTAGAAGGGATACAGATTTTAGACAGATAATAGCTTGTCAGTGTATAGATGAAAATATTGAAGTAGAGAACCGGGGCGAATTTCTGAAATCAATTTAGAAAAGCATAGATCATGTGGAGTGGGAATTTTTGGATGAAGTGATAAAGCTCATGGGTTTTGGAGAAAATGGAGAGCCTAGATGTTCTCTTATATCTCTACAGTCCCTTTCCCCATATTGGTGAATAGTCAAACAGAAATTTTCCAGACTTCTGGAATCTGCAAAAAAGGGGCAACTGTCATTCATTTATTTGGTAAGTACAATTTGGTAGAGTTTACTTGGGAATTCTTCTTACTTTCAAGAGACAAAGGGCAGAATCATTTCAGCTGGAGGTTTCTTCTCAAGGTGGCTTACCTAATATTAGAGGTGGTAAAAGATTAAAAATGTTGTAGTGTTATACCTTTGGCTGTATGTTGGAAAGTGTGGAAAGGAAATAGACTAATTTTTGAAGACAGATTTAGAACAAGGAGGAAATTGGTAGAAAATATCCATTCAATGGTGATAGAGTGGGTGCTACATCATCCCAAATTCTAAGGAATCAAAAAAGGGGACCTTCAGTAAAGTTTTAGATCTGACATGGAAGTGGGTGACAGTACTTTGTTATGGGTAGGTTGTATTAATATGGGTAATGATAAGTATTACATATTTGGTTAAATCTCTTAAATGTTGATATAATTTTCTTACTCTCACCTGTGTGGTCAGAGATTTAATCACTTCTTTTGCAGCCATGCATTTTGCAGTTTTATCTTCTGCTAGAGAAGTGGCATCCTTCAGTTGCCTTGATGTCCTTTCTAGTTCAGCTTCCAAGAGTTGGGATTTGCAGGTAAGATCTTCTACCTATACAATCCAGGTAACGTCTGACTTAGCAACCTTGAAATTAACTTATACTAAACTATTATTCAGTCAAGTAGTTTTTTACGGGTCTAGTGATTATTCAGGGTATAATAACCCGTACCTGTAAGAGGCTAGAGTACCAATATCCATAAAGTAAGATACAGATACAGGTACTGGATACAACCCTGATATGCAATGAATACATCTTTGGATTACACTTATTTTTAAATTGAAAAAAAAACATTAAAATAAAGAAATAATGAAAACTAGCTTCAAACTTTCTATCACTCCATCATCCTCCATTCAGCAATATAAAAGCACTAATTGAACAATATGATAACAAAAAGACTAGAGAAAATTAAGTTATGGATGAATAAGCGAAAAATGTTAAGTTTTCTTCTTTAGTTTGTTCTTTGTGCATCTAGGAAATAGTTACCTGTGCCTTCAATCTAATAATTTCTTGGGTGAGGTTGTCATTTGTATGTTTTAGATCATCAACCATGACTTTAAGAGATGTATGACCAAGAAGAGGTGGTTTAGGGGTTGCAGAACGAGGTGGATTTGGCTTCATTGATGCAGATGTTGCATGGGAACCCACTATTACAGCAGGAGCAGAAGCAGAAGCAGAAAACATATTCTTTGAATATCCAACTGAGGAGGTTGATGTTTTCAATGAGGATAGTGAAACTCTGTTGGGAACAGCAGAGTTTAGGGAAATGTTGTGTTCTACTGTTATGTTGCCCTTGGACTGCCTGCTCTCAGCTTGCTTCATTGATTCAACTGAGGAGAGCCTTGAAAGTTGTCCACGTAATCTAGGATTTGACATCTCTTTTTCTGCAATATCACTGGAACTATGATGTATGCATCCACTTCGAGTCTTAAATAGTCGAGAAATTGATCTAGATTCAATTGACTTCTTAAGTTTATTGAAGCAATCATCACACACACGATAAGGCTTGTTAACATTTGGAGCCAATGAAGCTTTTAGAGATTTCCTACTGCTGCATGCTTTGCAAAAGACAAGCCCACAGTTATAGCAATTATGACGCTTTCTTCTGAAACCAAACGGATTATGACAACCAGAGCATACGGAATTATCAGTACCAGAAACCGATTTGTTGAGACAGATGATAGCAGTAAAATTTGAACCACACACAACACTCTTGACTTGTTTATCTTTCAAAGCTTCAACTAGTGCAGGAGTATTTCTGTCATCATTATCTCCATGTCCTAATTGGCCATTCGCTCCCTTTCCCCATGTGTAGACCTCCCCTTTTGAAGTCAAAATTGCTACATGATAAGAACCACATGCTATCTCCTCAACAAAGCAATTGCTGATTTTACCTTCAACACAAGTGGGATGCTTTCCATTGGATTCAGGACAACCCAATTGCCCATAAACTGTACTTCCCATGGTATATACTCGTCCTAAGGTTGTAAGAGCAATTGTAATGTCATACCCACAGGCCACTCGACAAAGGTCTAGATCATCCAAAGCAGTTACACGTGCTGGGGATAGTCTGGAATCTTTGTGCCCAAGTCGGCCTTTATCGCCATCTCCCCATGTGAATAGCTTTCCAGATGAAGAGCTACCAGAACTAGAGGACTTGACCATAACTTCCACAACAGCAGCAGTATGCCAAACACCGCAAGCTACCCTCACGGTCCGCAGTCCTTTAAGAGATTCCACTTCTCTTGGAATGCTTGTGCTGCTACGGTCCCCATGCCCTAGAGCACCGAAAGTTCCTTCACCAAATGTAAACAACTGACCCGATGAAGTTACAGCAGCTGTATGCCAAGGTCCACAAGAGATTGATGCCACATGTATTCCTTCCATTTGACAACTTACTTTTTTAGGGATCCAGTGACTGGCCTCACTTCCATGCCCAAGGAGACCAGAATTATGAGTACCATCACCCCACGTATAAAGATCTCCAGACAGTGTAACAGCACAAGTGTGATATTCACCACATGCTACTAGTTCAATATTCATGCCACTGAGAGTGTTGATGAGTTTTGGGTGAGAAACATCTGCTTCCACTCCATGCCCAAGCCTACCTCCTGACTCTTCTCCCCAACTAAAGATCTCCCCTTTCTTGGTGACTAAAACAGCATGCCTACCACCACAAGCAATACTGTGGACATTAAGAACCACCGTTGATTCAAGTGCCTTTGGAAGAAGTGAATCCATCCTGGCTGCAGATGAACTTCCAACTCTATGCATACCACCACCCAACACTCCTTCACCAGTGCCTTCTCCCCAGATAAAAACATCACCAAATGCACAAAAATCTTCGTGATATGATCCCTGGCTTGATGAGCTTACTGCACTAGATAAACTAACTCTGAAATTATCAACTGCAGACGATCGGCCATTTGAATTATCTGCAGTAGAAGATGAAAATGAGCCGAGAGTAGTAGCAATTGATTCTGACTGACTAGAACTCTTAGCAGCTGCAGTGTATGATATCACATCAGAGAATGCCTTTCCCAAAGCATTTTGTGGAGGACTCTCATAAGGAACCTGAATTCGTTGGGTGTCTCCGGGATCCTGTGTAAGCCGGGGAAACAAATTTGACACAAGAGTTGAATTAAAAAAGGTACTTAGTAGATCAATATTGTCTCATAAACATCAAAAAGGGAATCTTATGCAATGCATCATTGTCTTCACATACTGAAGCAAAGGGAGAGGTTCTTTGAGTAATGCCACGGGGACTATCTGATGAGATTCTATCATTCTTTGGTTCATTTCTACACTTGCGGTAGTTACCATGTGAAATCAATGCCTTGAGAGCAACAAACCATACCTCAGCCTCATCCTTATCTTTGCATATCTGGCAAAGGTTCATAATGTTTTAAACCAAGAAGGCTAAATGATGAAATAATATTAACATATGCTAAAGATAATCAGCCTATCTAATTATTCACTAGTTTCTTTTTATGTTGTTGATGGTGCCAAATTCGTATGCAGGCAAGACAAACAAAGCAGCAGCACATACCAAATCCAATGATCTGTCACTGTATATAAGAGAAAATGATTGATATTCCTTCTCAGGCCGAGGATACCGCTGAAATATCGCCTGAAAGGCATGAGACAAATAATACTCTCAAATATCTTATATACCAGCATGAAATAAATAGTAGATATGATCAACAGGAAAGATTGAAGGGATGGGAAAAAAATTTATAGCGGCATTAGTTAAAGCCTATGAACATTAGCCAACAACTACTAAGATCTCTTTTATGAGTATTCTTTGCCCATGAATGCCTTTATGAAGGCCTGAAATAAACATCTTAAATGTAGATGAGATGAATTCATTGTGACAACACAAAACACTTCTTTTTAAATGAATTTGATATGCATAATACCATGCCTCTTACAAAAAAAAAAAGAAGAAAAAGAAAATCATGAACTAAATGATCTGGGGAAAAAGAATGCCCATGAGATATCCTAGGAAGCCCATAAGACTTTTCCTTCTCAGTATTGTTTGTATTATGTTATGTCAGGTGGAGTTCATACCATTCTTTCATTGTTAGAAAATAGTTCTTATTGATTAGAGTTAATTTTTAATTGTTTTTGGAGTCTTACTTAGAGACTTCTTACTCCAAGAGAAATCTTGTCCACCTTTTCTATGCTCTAAATTTTAGGGTCTAAAACTTGTCCCTTTAGTTTACCTATCAAAAAAAATAAAAAATAAAAAAACTTGTCCATTTAGCTTGACCTTGGTGTCATCTTAAGTGCTTGTTAGTTTCTTAGATCTTCCAAATCTGATGTGACTTGGGAGAGGTATAGCCATTCTATAGATATGGTGTCACCTTGTGACCAGGATTTGAGTCTTTAGATTTCCTGTTTTAATTAAATTTTTTAGGTAATTCCTTGAAGGCCAAGAGTTAAAAAATAAGACTATAATGTCTTTAAAGTTTATAAATATGAAGCATCAAGAAAAACATTTGTAATTAGCCATGTCCTTTTGAGTGAAATTCTATTATACCCAGATACAAAAGGCAGTTTATCGTATTAGTCTATTAGATACTTTAATGAACTCTTATCCAATATTGCTTTTGTAGTGAGAATGGGCCGAATGGGCCTTAGTGTTCTTTATAGTAGTCGCTCAAGATTGAACAAACACTTAAAGGAGAAGAAAAAAAATAAGAAAAGAAGAGGGAGAAAAGAGAGAGAGAGAGAGAGAGAGATTTTGATAAAAGAGAGTTGGGTTGTTGTTTGAAACAGACGCCCCCCTCTTAAATTTATATACATAGTATCATACTTGTAAAAGGACTGAATTGCTTACATGGCAAGATAAGATAAGATAAAGCTGAAAAAAGACTAATCCTAATCTTATAAAAGACTAGTCCTAATCTTATAAAAGATTAGTCCTAATCTTATCATAAAGAACTAATCCTAATCATAACTTATTGCTGACATATGAACAGTGGGGACCACCTTAGTGGGGTCCACATTAGTGTTCTCTACACTCCCCCTCAAATCGGGAATAGATGTTTGTCATTCCCAACTTGCATAGATTTGCCTCTAACTTCAATATGCTTAGTTCTGTCGTGTTGTACCGGATTATGGGCTATATTGATGGCAGCCTGATTATCACAGTACAACATCAAGGGTTTCTCATAAACAATACCTAACTCCTCAAATAATGATCTCAACCATAGAATCTCAGCTACACCATTTTCCATGGACCTATATTCAGCTTCAGCACTGGAACGAGAAATGACATTTTGTTTCTTACTCCTCCAAGAGACAAGGTTACCTCCTACAAAAGCACAATATCCAAAGGTAGATCTTCGATCATCAACACACCCAGCCCAATCAGCATCTGTGTAAACTCCTATCTTCATGTGATCATTATTCTTGAATAAAATGCCTCTGCTTGGGCACCTTTTCAAATATGCTAGTATCCTCTCAACTGCAAGGAAGTGAGTAGTCCTAAGAGAGTGCATATACTGACTAACCACACTGACTGCATAACTGATGTCGGGTCGAGTGAGACAAAGATAGAGAAGTTTTCCAACTAACTGCTGGAACATAGCTTTATCTTCAAGGGGCTATCCACCCTCTGCATTGATCTTGTGATTTTGCAATAGGTGTGTTAGCAGGCTTAACACCCAACTTTCCTGTTTCTTCCAACATGTCAAGAACATACTTTTTTTGAGAAACAAAAATCCCATGCTCGGATCTGGCTACCTCAATGCCCAAGAAGTATCGTAGTTCTCCCAGATCTTTTACCTCAAACTCTTAATGAAGGAGTTGTTTAAGGAACTCAATCTCAGTATTATCATTTCCTGTTACTACAATATCATCCACATACACAGCAAGCAAGGTTAAGGAAGAATCCACTCTCTTAATAAACAAGGTGTGGTCTGACTGGGCCTGTACATATCCGAACCTTTCAAGGGCTTGTCTAAATCTATCAAACCAAGCTCTAGGGGACTTTTTAGTCCATACAAGGCTTTGTTCAACCGACAAACCTTCTTTCCTGTCTCTGTACCATAAAATCCAGGAGGCAGCTGCATGTAGACTTCTTCCTGCAAGTCTCCATTGAGGAAGGCATTTTTAACATCCATCTAATACAACGACTAAGAGTAGCTAGCTGCAAGAGATAATAAGACTCTGATAGTGGTCATCTTTGCTACTGGTGCAAAAGTTTCCCAACGGTCAATACCATATGTTTGAGTAAATCCTTTTGCAACTAACTGGGCCTTATACCTTTCAATAGAACCATCAACATTATGTTTCACAGTGAAAACCCATCTACATCCAACCGGTTTCTTACCTTTAGGCTGATCAACTATCTCCCAAATATTGTTTCTGATGAGGGCATCCATTTATGCTTTTATTGCATCTTTCCATTCTGGTACTTCCAATGCTTCCTGTATTGTTCTGGGAATGGGAACATTGGCAACGGATGCAAGAAAAGACTTATAGGAGGGAGACAAATGATCGTAGGACAAGAACTGAGAAATGATGTGAGCTGTGGATGTGGTGCAACGATGCTTGCCCTTACGAACTGCTATGGGAAGACCAAGATCATCTAATGAAGGTGAAGGCTCCATGGTGGGATGTCTCTCATCTGTAGTATCTGTGGTACCTGGATCTGGCTCTGCAGAAGGAACTGGGGCTATTGTGGTACCGGGATCTGGATCTGCAGAGGAGACTGGGACTGGCCTACACTATTGATGTCCGAAATCAACCTGTCTCCATCATCTGTGATAGACTCTCACATCTCTACATCTCTGACAGCCCTCCCCATTACACCCCTCTTCACTTAATGGGACAGGTAAAGGAACTTCTAACGAGTTAATCCCAACCTTACTACTCTCCCCCTGAGGAGAAACCCTTGGATTAATAGGGTACATCTTCAAAGAAAGTGACATCCATTGAGACAATTTTTTTCCCAGAAATAGGTTTATAGCAGCAATATCCCTTTTGAGTTTGTGCATAACCAAGGAAAATACATTTTGAGGTCTTAGGACCAAACTTGGAACGATGAGAGCCAAGAATCTGAACAAAGCATGTACAACCAAAGGTTTTAAGGGGAATGGTAAATAACTCTTTATCAGGATATAAGAGGGTAAATGGAGGTTTCATGTCAAGAACCCATTAAGGAATCCTATTGATGAGATACACTGCTATAAGAATAGCATCCCCCTAGAAACGTATAGGCACATTGGAGGTAAACATAATGCTTCTAGCTACCTCCAATATGTGTCTATTCTTTCTTTCAGCAACCCTATTTTGTTGTGGTGTATGAGGACAAGTACTCTGATGGATAATCCCATGTTCAAGCAAATAAAAGGCTAATGGGTTTGCAAAATATTCTTTCGCATTATCAGATCTAAAAATTTTGATTTTGACCCCAAATTGGGTTAAAATCATCTAATGAAAGATCTGGGTTAATGCTGGAACCTCATCTCGAGAACGCATGAGATAAATCCACGAAAAACGAGTATAATCATAAAAAAACAGTAGGAAATATCTGTACCCCCCCATGGTAGTGGTATGGTATGGTCCCCAAACATCAATATACACAATTTCAAAGGGAATATTACTTTTATTATTACTTAATGAATAGGTTGTCCTATAGTGTTTTGCAAATTCACAACTCTCACATTTCAAACTAGACATCTGGATAGATTCAAATAAACTAGGAAACAAACTCTTCAAAGCCAGAAAAGATAAATGACCCATCCTATTATGCCAAAGCATAGCCTGATCAACAGACTGAGAAACACAAAACCTCTTAGTCTCACTATCTTCCCAATGAGGACTCCCTCTAAGCAGATAGACTCCATTTGCCTCACGGCCAGTCCCAATCACCTTCCTTGTCTCCAGATCTTGAAAAACACATCGATCCGGAAAAAAAGATTACTGAACAATTCTGGTTTTTTGTAATGCTACTAACTGAAAGCAAGTTAGTACTAAGCTTAAGAACATGCAAAACCAAAGATAAGGAAATAGCATTAGACAACTTGATGTCTCCCTTGCCAGAAATAGGAACGAGGGAGCCATCAACAATGGACACTTTGTCTCTGCTTGAAAATAAGTGATAGGCAGTAAATAGTGACGGCAAGCCAGTCATATAGTTAGATGCACCAAAATCTATTATCCATGAATATTCTGTATTATCTGTAGCTGAGGCATGGTGAGCTGAGGCCCGATTACCTGAATGAGCAAAAGCTGAGGTAAGGGGTGCTGATGGTGTCTGAGGAGGTGGAGCTGAATTACCAACTTCATTTTCCAGCTGAATTAGAGCAGCTCGGTCAGCAACTAGAGTGTCTAGAGGATTGGCTCTTGTGCTAGATGAGATTGTACTATCAGTGTTAACAACCATATTTGTATTCCCCTTTTTGTTTCTGAGTTTTGCTGGAACTAGATGTGGATGCAACTTCCAACAAGTCTCTTTAGTATGTTTAGGTTTCTTGCAATGCTCACATACTAGGTCCTTCTTAGCTCATTCTTCATGTCTCTATCCTTATCACCCCCAGATTCAAAAGGCTATTGCTATAGCAACTTTTCTCCTAGTCTCTTCGCTGTGCACTAAGGAATAGGCCTGGGACAGAGTTACATTGTCTCTTGTCAACAATTGCTGCTTCACAATATCATATTCTGAATTTAGACCAGCCAGGAACTCAAACACTCTATTACTTTCAATCTGCTTTCTGTAAATTTGTGCATCCTTCTGACTTTCCCATTCAATTGATTCAAGGTGGTCAAATTCATGCCATGGGGATTTCAAGATTGAAAAATAAACAGAAACTTGTTTCTCACCTTGCTTGAGATTTTTAACCTCACATTTCAGCTCATAAGCCCTAGCAACATTAAGGGGCTGAGAGTAGGTTTC